ACAACAGGGGATGGGAACTCGGGCTATAGACATGAATTTTAATCCATTTTAAATACTTAAAGTGTTAAAAATAGAATAAAATCTCGTAGACAAAAGAATTGCACATCAAGTGAACGCCAAATAAAAAAGTGCATAATAGTGCGCAATATTATTAGTACTTTAAAAATTTATATTAGTTTTTTGAGAAATCGGAAGTAGCGTAAATTACTACTTCCGGTCAACGGAAATTACTCAAAATTTAACAGAAGGTAGAAAATTAGATCTTTTACTCATATGTGAAACTTCATTTATCTATCTGAAATAGTACTCAAGTTATAGGCTTTTGAAAAATTCAAAGTAGTAAAAGTACTACTTCCGGTTATCGGAAATCGCTCAAAAGTTGATACGGATCTACGATTTTGATAAAATACTTATATATGAAATTTCATCAACCTAGCTGTAACGGTACTCAAATAATCGTGTTTACACACAGACACACACAGACACACACACAGACACACAAACATACGGACAGAATTGCAAAGCCCAGTTTTTCAGACTGGATTACGCATAAAACCTTTTAATTTTGATAAATCTGGATTGATAATTTTTGCCCGATTAAAATAAGTTCTCTATACTTCGGATGTGAAGAAGGACTGAGGTGTAATAAGGTGAAAATTGTTAAAATTTAAAGTGATTTTTGTGCACGATTACAATACTTTCTCTATACTTCGTATATACGAGAAAGTAAAAATTCTAAAATAAATCATGAAATTCTTTTTGTATTCGGTTTGGGAGATAAACATTTTTTTGTTACTTTTATTTTGACTTGGTCATTTTTACAAGCTTTTATTTAACTCACTTCAACTGTCGTCAGTCGTCAGTCTAGACGGAAACGCAGGAGTGAAAATTCGGACAGTTCTACTTGACCGATACGATTCAAAGTTAGCACGTGGGTCAAGACATGAAGACAATGCAATCTGAAACTAAATTTGACTTAATTGGATGCCTAATTAATTTTTTATGAATTAATTAAAATTTGGACCGAATTAGTTGGCATGTCTAGCCAACCACACCACACGCGTCATCACCTTCAATAGCTGCGCCATCACGTAATGGCTGCGTTCAAAAACCATTGCGCGCCTACTGAACGTGATGTTCAGTAGGCGCGCAATGGTTTTTAGTCATGTAACTCTATTGTAAATAATACATGTAAAGTACTGAAAAAAAAATTCATAAAAAACGTTTTAATAACAAGCTTTTATGTAATGATGCACTAAAAAGTAGAAAATAAATTATAGACTACTATTTAAATAACTATAAAGAAAAGCGTGGGTGTCTTCCTTAACATTAGTAAAGGTATCCAATACATACTAAAGTGACCCACGCTTTTCTTTATAGTTATTTAAATAGTAGTCTATAATTTATTTTCTACTTTTTAGTGCATCATTACATAAAAGCTTGTTATTAAAACGTTTTTTATGAATTTTTTTTTTACTCTTAGTTTCATGTGACGTCAGAGATTTCTATTCCAAAAGACAGATACACACACGGATAGGTTTTTTATTTTATTGTTGTCTTTTTACTTTCTCGTATATACGAAGTATAGAGGAAGTATATTGTAATCGTGCACAAAAATCACATGAAATTTTGACAGTTTTCATAGTTTACACCTCAGTATTTCATCATATAGGCCTACAGATGATAGGGAACTTATTTTAATCGGACAAAAATTATAAATGCAGATTTATCAAAATTTCGGCGTCTTATGCGTAATCCAGTCGGGAAAACTGGGCTTTGCTGTTCTGTCCGTATGTCTGTGTATGTGTGTGTGTGTGTGCATATATGTTTCTGTGAGCACGATAACTTGAGTACCGTTACAGCTAGGTTGATGAAATTTCATTTATAAGTATTATATCAAATTTGTAGTTCTGTATCAACTTTTCAGCGATTTTCGGTAACCGAAAGTGGAACTTATTCTACTTTTAATTTTTCAAAAGCCAATAACTTAAGTACTGTCTTAGATAGATGAATGAAATTTCACACGTAAGTAAAAGATCTATTTCTCTGCCTTCTTTGAAAGTTTGAGTAATTTCCGTTGACCGGAAGTAGTAATTTACACTATTTCCGATTTCTAAAAAGTACTAATAATATTCCGCACTATTATACACATTTTGTTTGGCGTTCACTTGGTGCGCAATTCTTTTTTCCTACGATATTCTATTCTATTTTAAAAAGTTTAAGTAATTAAAAATGGATTTAAAATCAAGTCTATATCCCGAGGTGCCATCCCCCGTAGTGTTATATAAGAATATTCGAGAAAGTTTAGGGAGATCACTCCCGTTTTTTTTTTTAATTGAGATCTATAGGTATGTTTTTAATGTTAGAAATGCGATAAGGCGGTAAATTTTGAGTTCCTATCATGAATGACTTTATTATCTATTCCGGTGTTACTTTTTATTTTACGTATATTTTCTCTTGAGCGTTCTTGTAAGTTACACAGACACCATGAAAAAAGTAAATTGTAAAAATTAAATTAAAGATGGCTTGAATTCACAGAGGCAATCAGAGGACCTGACATGAAATTAGGCCTATGTTTAGCATCTTACAAATATATGATATAATTCGAAAATCATATTTTTTATTAAGCCGCATAAACTAAATCCATAAACCCTTAAGATGTTGTAGATGGCACTCCTTAAAATTCAAAGAGGAAAATCTAATTGTAAAAGTATTATTAATTAACTAACTTCGGACAGTCAAGCCGTAAATTGACGTTTCCCTTTCAATGACAGCCAGAACGAATTGTTTTCTGTCAGCAGGATAGGATCTGCTGTAGATAAAACTTTGATCATAACGATGACCTCCCCTTTCCCCCCCCCCCCTCCTAATCGCCATCGCAGTGTTGCCAAACAGGGTTAGAGCAAATCTAATTCCTATTTGATTGATATCTTTAATTTAACGGCAACACAATGAGGATATGTATCTATAGGAGTGGTCTGTCACTCCTTGGATCATGGGAAAATGCAACTGTATGTTTATACTATATGTAACAGACTGTATATATATATATATATATATATATATATATATATATATATATATATATATATATATATATATATATATATATATATATATATATATATATATATATATATATATATATATATATATACGGGGGTGACTAAATTTTCCGGGGATGGGGCGGGTACTGGTAAAAAGGGGACGGAGTGGTCTAATGGTAGAGAGCTGGACTGCTAACCCGTAAGTCTCGAGTACGAATCCGGGTTCAAGTCAGTAGACCGTCCCTGAGTCCACCCAACTCTGATGGGTACCTAACTCACGTTAGGGAAAGAAAGGCGGCTGGGCATAGTGGTGACTATAATAGATTAGGAATACACAACGGAGACAGAAGCCATCAGCATGTAGCCATCTTTATTTGTTAACCGGAAGAGGAACAATGATAGATAAATACAAGGGACATCATTCAATAACAACATTATAAATATAACTAATACAAGAAGAGTGAGTTCCCCTGACCTCACAAATCCCAATATGTTACAGTGACCACACTATCTCTTCATATGCCGAGGTCACAGAAAAAAGTGAACTCTACTTATTTACCCTATAGACAGATGGTTTTGAAAGGAAACTTTACTTTTACTGGTAAAGGTATATTTTCTATATAAGTATATAAATTCTATGTCGTTATACGGGGTGATAGAGTTTCATCGGAGGGGGGGGGGGAAGGGCGAACTCCCACCCCCCTCCCGAGAGTTGCTTGAAAGAAACTGTAAATGCGACCTTTATCAAATTTGAGCTACGACTATACTTAGTATGAATGTGCAGTAACTGGTGATCAGAAATATGCGCACACAGAAAAAAAGCGCAAACAAAAAAAGGGTTAACAGAAAAAAGCGCAAACAGAAAAAAGCGCAAAGAGACATTTTAGCACAAAAACCTATATGGAATAAATGACACATTTATACATGATAGTTATGGCTGCTGTGAGAGGGTCGTGTTTGACCTAACGCGATCTACTACCATAAAGCAGTAGCGAAGCGAGGGGGAGGGGACATATGTCCCCGGGCGCCGACCTTAGGGGGCGCCAAAATGGGTTGGAAAAATAAATTGAAATGTTGAGGGGGTGCAAATAGGAAGTTTTAAGGGGGGGGGGGGGTGGTGGTGCAAATTGAAATCTTGAGGGTGGGGTGCAAATCGAAAGTTTGAGGTGGGTGCAAATCGAAATCTTGAGGGGGGGGGGGGCGTGCAAATCGAAAAGTTTGTCCCCGTGCGCCGGGAAGTGTCGCTACGCCTCTGCCATAAAGAATACCACTACCATAAGCATTCACATCAAATCGATACAGGCGATAATCGCTTTACACAATGCATATTGTTTTCTTGTTCAATATTTATTCAACTACTATTCTCGTATAAATAAAACTATCCTTTATATTGGCATTACACGGCGTATCTCTTACATTCTCCCTAGTCCGAACTCCTTAGCTTGCGTACCATAACAACCCGTTCCTATCGTAAAACTTCATTCTCTTTCATCCACGTCAACAAACATGCATTCGTTATTCCTCTCGCACCAACATTCCATCGCAACAAAATACCCTGATAAAACACTCACCATAATGATGTATTTCATCTTATTTCATCATGACGCACCTACCAACGTACCTACCTACCTACATACTTAACTACCTACCTGCGTATGTAAGTGGGTTAGGGTTAGGTAAGTGGGTGGATTGGTGGGTAGGTAGGTTGTTTGGTGGGTAGATGTGTGGGTAGGTAGTTAGGGAGGTTCTTGGGTGTTTGTGTAGATGATATAGATTATGGCAGTGGTGTCGCTAGGTTGGGTCTCACCCAGTGCGGCACTTCGTGTTCTCAACCCCCCCCCCCCCTCCATAAAAAACAAAGTATACTTTATATATATACTAGCGTGCCCGTCCCCGCGAGTTGCCGTGGGAATAGAAGAAAGTCTGACGAAATATATAAGAAGGGTTTCATGAATGCGTTACAAATCCTATGTTCCTAGATACGTGACCTTGCTTTCTAAAAGTGAGTTATTTAAATGTAAACAATGCCTGCGCTTGGGTAATAAAAATCGGGACACGGGTTTACCTACACTACCGCATGAAAACCTTGTCTGTACATGAATCACTCACCGAAATAATGAGGTAGAACACACTTTGGTGACCGCCCATGTCTCAGGGACGTAGAGGGGCGCTCATGAGCCCCCCCCCCCCCCCATTACACTACCGCATAGGCGCCGCGTACTGCCCCTGGCTCCTTAAAACTAACAGGCGCCATCGTGCCAAATAGCATCCTGTTACTCGGGAGTATTCATCAACTTCCCAAAGTTTTATAGTACCTGGATAAACTGTGTCGAACCGCAACTGTCTGTTATTTTATATACATTATATAGAGAAAAATCGCACCCTCCCGTGGTGCCGCCCTTGCGAAATTAAAAATGACTTGTATAAAGAATCCTGCTCCAGACTGTTCTTATCAACTCCCTAAAGTCTCATGGCTATCGGGCGAACGGTGTAGAACCAAAATCGACTTTAATTTTTTTATACAATATATAGAGAAAAATCGCACCCTCCCGTGATTTTTTTTTTACAGAACCCTTCCCCAGAGTGTTCTAATGAACTCACCGAAGTTTGATGGCGATCGGGTGAACTCTGTCAATCCAAAATCGTTTTTTTTAATGTTTATATACCGCATATAGAGAAAAAACACATCGCGCCCTGCCGGGGCGCCACCCCTGCGAATTTGAATTTTTTTTCGCAGAAACCTCCTCAGGAATATTCACAACAACTTCCGAAAGTTTCATGGCGATGTAATGAGAGGTGTAGTAATGCATAAAAGACAAACAAACATACATTGCTTTATATTTATACTAGCGTACCCGTCCCCCGCGCGTTGCCGCGGGGATAGAAGAAAGTCTGACGCAATATATTAGAAGGATATCACCTATGAATTACCAATCGTATGTTCTTAGACGCGTGACCTTGTTTTCTAAAGCTGTGTTATTTAAATGTAAACAATGCCTGCGATTGGATTATAATTATCGGGACACGGGTTTTCCTACACTACCGCATGAAAACCTTAAGTGTACATTAATCACTCACCGAAATAATGAGGTAGAACACATTTCGGTGACCCCCCATGTGTCAGGGACGTAGAGGGGCGCTCTCGGGAGCCCCCACCCCCCGATTACACTACCGCATAGGCGCAGGGTACGGCCCCTGGCTCCTTAAAACTAACAGGCGCCATCGTGCTCATAGGATAACCCAGCGTGCCAAATAGCATCAAGTAAACCATGATGAAGATTTCGTCATTCGCTTAAGTGACATAAATGAACAGGATTTTTTAAACATCAGTGTGACTGATGCACTATGCTAGCGTTACTAATGGTCTATTATTAGATGCTCGAACTCAATTTCTGACTGGATCGTCTAATAATAGATGCTTATTGCATCATTCGCAAAGTGACGAAACTCTACAGTAGGCTCCTCATATTCAAAAAGTTATTTTTTCATCTTTCGCAAGGTGACGAAACTGTACAGGATTTCCTCGCGTTACAAAGTTATTTTTAGAAGCCTGTTGTAGTTTTACCGCTGAGTATAGTAGTACCCCTTACTCGCTACGCAGGACGCTCGATTAACGGATGCCAAGTGCCAACTTAGTCGCTATAAAACTTTGGGCGCCAAACCGTGTATTGACGAAAATTGTACCCTACATGGCGCCGCCCATAAGAAGCTTTAGTTTTCTTTTTCGCAGAAATATTTTCTCATCTACTCCCTAAAGTTTCATGACACTCGGATGAACCGCATCCGAGTTTTATTTTTTATATACCGTGTTTAGAGAAAAAAAATAGCTCCCCCGGGGGCACCGCCCTTGCAATATAAAAATATATATTTTTTTGCACTACCCTACCATTGAGTGATCTAATTATCTCCCCAAAGTTTCATGGTACACGGATGAACGGTATGAAACCGAAATAGGCTTTTATTTTTTTAAACCGTATATAGAGAAAAAAACAAATCGCGCCCTGCCTGGGCGCCACCCCTGCGAATTTGAAAACCTTTTTAGCGCAGAAACCTCCCCAGGAATATTATGAACATCTTCCCAAAGTTTCATGGCGATCGTATGAACGGTGTCACAGCAATTCACTTTTATTATTTTTATATACAGTATATAGAGAAAAATGGCACCCTCCTGTGGCGCCGCCCTTGTGAAATTAAAAATGTTTTTTTACAGAACCCTTTCTAAAAATGTTCTAATGAACTCACCAAAGTTTAATAGCGATCAGATGAATGGTGTCTAACCAAAATCGACTTATATTTTTATATACCGTACATAGAGAAAAACAAATCGCGCCCTGCCAGGGCGCCACCCCTGCGAATTTGAATTATTTTTTTCCGCAGAAACCTCCCCAGGTATATTCTCAACAACTTCCCAAAATTTCACGGCGATGTGATGAGAGGTGTAGTAATGCATAAAGGACAAACAGACACACACAAACATACATTGCTTTTTATATATAGACTAGCGTACCCGACCCCCGCGCGTTGCCGCGGGGATAGAAGAAAGTTTGACGAAATATCTTAGGATTTCACCAACGCGTTATCAATTATAATTATATGTTCTTAGACGCGTGACCTTCTTTTCTAAAAATGAGTTATTTAAATGTAAACAATGCCTGTTCTTGGATCATCAATATCAGTGTAAAGGATTGATGTTTTTATTATTACACACTGGTCGATAGAGCCACGTTGATGTATATCTAGCTTTATTCGAAACCGGAAGACACATGACAAAACCCAGAGGACATCACTCAAAACAACAATATAAATATAAGACTAATACAAGAAGAGTGAGTTCCCTTGACTTCACAATTCTCAATATATTACAATCAGGACACGGGTTTACCTACATTACCGCATGAAAACATTGAGTGTACATTAATCACTCACCGAAATAATATGGTAGAACACACTTCGGTGACCGCCTCTGTGTTAGAGACGTAGAGGGGCGCTCTCAGGGCCCCCACCCCCCCCAATTTCACTACCGCATAGGCGCGGCGTACGACCCCTGGCTCCTTAAAACTAACAGGCGACATCGGCCAAATAGCATCCTGTTAATAATGATGCAGATTTCGTCATTCGCTAAAGTGACACAAATGAACAGGATTTTTTTCTTTAACACGTAAAACAAGTTAATTAAAAAGTCTAGTGACAATTTTAGCGCAATTTCCTTATGTTATCTAACAATAGCTCTGTCGTAGCGTAAATCAAGAGCAGGGTTAGTAAAACCATTGGTTAGTTATTAAAACGATTTTTATTAAAAAAAAAATTCAATATTTTACATGTTTTACTAGCCGTCCCGGCCAGGCCCTGCTCTGGCTTCTGTAATAAAACCTTTCTGTTAAAGACCATTACCTGTGTGTTTAGTAATCATTCTATACCCGGCATTGCCCACCCAAACCACAACCAACCAAAACCAAAACAACAAAACGCAAACATAACGCTAACACAATTACAAATACAAACGAAAACAAAAACCTAACAACAAACCCAACCACAACCACAAACACCAATACAAACACAAAGAAAAAACAAACAAAAAAGCAAACGAAAAAAACAACCTAACAACAAACCCAAACACAAACACCAATACCAACACAAAAAAACAACGAAAAAGCAAACGAAAACAAACCAAATCCAAACGCAAAACCAACCAAAAACACAAATACAAACCCATAGAAAAAAACACAAACAAAAACGAAAAAAAGAAAGAACAAAAACGAACCAAATCAAAACGCAACCACTAACGCAAACCCACCTAAACACAAAGAAAACACTAACGCGAACATAAACGCCCGGGGCAGAATCGCCTGTTTTAGCTTAATAAACGACTATAGTACCCCAACTTATTCATAGTTTTTGCACTCACTTAAACGAACGCGCCTGTTTCAATTTAATGAACAATTATAATACTCCAAGCTTATCCGTAAAATACCTACAACATTTGCACTTGATCAATCCCCGCTAATTGTGTAATTATTTTTTTCCCAGCACCAAAACAAAGTATTAAAAAGTAAATGCTTTTCCACTAATGCAATGGTTTTATAAAGGGAAGTAATTGTGTTTTCCTAATTTATCAAAGGGAAGTAAGCGCTATAGGACTAAATAAAGACATAATTAGAATTTTTGTAAAAGATGATATTTTTTTAAAATTGTGTTTAATGAACATGCCGACAATTATTACTTTCAGTTTGAAAAATGAAAATTATTTCCCAACACTTTCAACGGTAATTTTTTAACTCATAAATTTAGACAAATGCGCACGGTAATATTCTAACACTTTAATCCATGGAAGTATGTCAACGATATACATATGTATTTTTACATACAGAACTGAGCTTTATATATTAGACTAGGCATACTGCCTAGCTTCGCTTAGGTTTTTAAATAACATTTGAGAATTTGAATACTTAATTATTTAGCGATGGATTTGGTGTTGAGTGCTTTAATTTAAACAGTAATGCTAACTTTAGAAAAAAAATGTTTTAGTTTGTCATTTAAATACCGTTCGCAGAGAAATATCGGAAAGTACGCAATGTATAAGTAAAATGGAATTAGAACTACACAGCTTCCATGAACAGTACATCTCATAGTTTTTATTACATTGCCTTTTGAAATTTATTTATTTATTTAATTGGGATATGTAACTAAATTAACAACTTAATTTTGTACTAAAACAAATGCTATACTTCGTCATTTTCTGTTTCTGTTTAAAATAGTATACAATTATTTGAAAAATAATAATTTAAAAAACGTTACCTCCCTTGAAAACTGAACGTATGACGTATGTCTTTGTTTTTTTTTTACAAACAGTTGCTATGCTTATATAAGAAATTACGGTATATGAACATATTTAACAACTATAATGGCTGTTTCCGACGGGAATAAAGTTTTTTTGTTAGCCTCCAGGGTCGGTCTACGACGTCACATAATATTAAGGGGATCGTTCGTCAATTTATTTATATATATATATCTCATATAAGGAGAATTTCACTCAAGATCATCTTTTAGCCCTCGTCGAGGGCTTTGAGTCTGACCAACAGTTTTTCCATACGGCCTAGTCATCTATAGTAGTGTATGCAAAAAATTAGCCAGATATACTGAGCTTAAGTACCCTAAAGTCTGCGTTGAAATGACCCTCTGTTTTTCCCATAAAATACAAAGATTATATAGGGAAATACAACTGGTCAGTTTTGACCGCTTTACAAAGTTTTCCCAGATATGCCGAGTTTTTTGTGACACCCCTAGGTGTTCTTCTACCACCTCACAAAATATCAAGGGGGGTCGTCGGAGGAATTTTTTTTTCGTAATAGAGCTCATATAAAGAGAATTTCACTCGCGGTCACTTTTTAGCCCTCGTCGAGGGCTTTGAGTGTAACCGACAGTTTTCCCTAAAGGTCAAGCCATTGACCTAGGAGCATGCAAAAAATTAGCCAGATATACTGAGCTTAAGTACCCTAAAGTCTGCGTTGAAATGACCCTCTGTTTTTCCCATAAAATACAAAGATTATATAGGGAAATACAACTGGTCAGTTTTGACCCCTTTACGAAGTTTTCCCAGATATGCCGAGTTTTTTGTGACACCCCAAGGTGTTCTCCTACCACCTCACAAAATTTCAAGGGGGGTCGTCGGAGGAAATTTTTTTTCGTAATAGAGCTCATATAAAGAGAATTTCACTCGCGGTCACTTTTTAGCCCTCGTCGAGGGCTTTGAGTGTAACCGACAGTTTTCCCTAAAGGTCAAGCCATTGACCTAGGAGCATGCAAAAAATTAGCCAGATATACTGAGCTTAAGTACCCTAAAGTCTGCGTTGAAATGACCCTCTGTTTTTCCCATAAAATACAAAGATTATATAGGGAAATACAACTGGTCAGTTTTGACCGCTTTACAAAGTTTTCCCAGATATGCCGAGTTTTTTGTGACACCCCTAGGTGTTCTTCTACCACCTCACAAAATATCAAGGGGGGTCGTCGGAGGAATTTTTTTTTCGTAATAGAGCTCATATAAAGAGAATTTCACTCGCGGTCACTTTTTAGCCCTCGTCGAGGGCTTTGAGTGTAACCGACAGTTTTCCCTAAAGGTCAAGCCATTGACCTAGGAGCATGCAAAAAATTAGCCAGATATACTGAGCTTAAGTACCCTAAAGTCTGCGTTGAAATGACCCTCTGTTTTTCCCATAAAATACAAAGATTATATAGGGAAATACAACTGGTCAGTTTTGACCCCTTTACGAAGTTTTCCCAGATATGCCGAGTTTTTTGTGACACCCCAAGGTGTTCTCCTACCACCTCACAAAATTTCAAGGGGGGTCGTCGGAGGAAATTTTTTTTCGTAATAGAGCTCATATAAAGAGAATTTCACTCGCGGTCACTTTTTAGCCCTCGTCGAGGGCTTTGAGTGTAACCGACAGTTTTCCCTAAAGGTCAAGCCATTGACCTAGGAGCATGCAAAAAATTAGCCAGATATACTGAGCTTAAGTACCCTAAAGTCTGCGTTGAAATGACCCTCTGTTTTTCCCATAAAATACAAAGATTATATAGGGAAATACAACTGGTCAGTTTTGACCCCTTTACGAAGTTTTCCCAGATATGCCGAGTTTTTTGTGACACCCCAATGTGTTCTCCTACCACCTCACAAAATTTCAAGGGGGGTCGTCGGAGGAAATTTTTTTTTCGTAATAGAGCTCATATAAAGAGAATTTCACTCGCGGTCACTTTTTAGCCCTCGTCGAGGGCTTTGAGTGTAACCGACAGTTTTCCCTAAAGGTCAAGCCATTGACCTAGGAGCATGCAAAAAATTAGCCAGATATACTGAGCTTAAGTACCCTAAAGTCTGCGTTGAAATGACCCTCTGTTTTTCCCATAAAATACAAAGATTATATAGGGAAATACAACTGGTCAGTTTTGACCGCTTTACGAAGTTTTCCCAGATATGCCGAGTTTTTTGTGACACCCCTAGGTGTTCTCCTACCACCACACAAAATTTCAAGGGGGGTCGTCGGAGGAATTTTTTTTTCGTAATATAGCCCATATAAGGCGCCGGTCAGTCGAGGTCAGTTTTGACCCCCTCTCCGTAGACTTTTCGGCCAACCGTCACCGGCCCTCGTGTTCTATCGCCCCAAGGCACCATCGTGCCAAATTTGACGCGCCTGCGGCGCCGGGAAGTGCCCTATCGGGCACCCAACAACTTTGCTTTATATATATATATTTACAATAGAGTTACATGACTAAAAACCATTGCGCGCCTAGCTACTGAACGTGATGACGAAGCCATAGAACGTGATGGTGCAGCTATTGAACGTGATGACGCGTGTGGTGTGGTTGGAAAAAATGCCTACTAATTCGGTCCAAATTTTAATTAATTCAAAAAAAAATTTGTGACCGAACGAAAGGATATTTTTGAAAACTTTTTTCGGCAATATTGTTCTAAATTATGGCAGGAATCGATTGGTACATGTTTCAAGTCGCTAAGTGGTCTGGTTGCCGAGATATGGGCCAAAAACTGCATTTTTTCGAGGTTTTTTGGCTTTTCCAGGAAATCCATGAAAGAAACCCGGAATTTTTATAGCCTATGTTCATCTTCGTAACTTGCTTAACATAATTGCTTTTGGAACTAGTCATCGATATTGCTTCGTTGAGGAGGAGATACGACTTAAAGCTGCGGACACACATCCATCCATCCATCCATCCATTCATACATTCATACATTCATACATCCAGAAATGACGGGTTAATAAACGCAATTCTCCAGAATGGAAATTGCGCTAAAAATTATTTGACGTGTTTTAAATATCAGTGTGACTGATGCAATATGCTAGCGTTACTAATGGTCTATTATTAGGTGCTCGATCTCAATTTCTGACTGGATTGTCTAATAATAGATGCTTATTGCATCATTCGCAAAGTGACGAAACTCTACAGTAGGCTCCTCATTTTCAAAAAGTTATTTTTTTCATCTTTCGCAAGGTGACGAAACTGTACAGAAGGATTTCCTCGCGTTACAAAGTTAATTTTAGAAGCCTGTTGTAGTTTTACCCAGAGTTTCTTCCAGGCATCTCTTCGGGGGGGCAAAGCCCCCCCCCCCCCCCCCCGAAAATTTTTAACCGCCCCCCCTAACGAAATGAAATTTATATAATTTATATAGAAAATATATACTTTTAACAGTGTCCGCCCCCGAAGAAAGTTTACCGCCCCCCCCCCCCCCCCGAAAATTTCAAGTGCCCCCCCGGAGAAAAAAGTCTGGAAGAAACACTGGTTTTACCGCTGAGTATAGTAGTACCCCTTACTCGCTATGCAGGACGCTCGATTAACGGATGCCAAGTGCCAACTTGGTCGTTCTAAAACTCTGGGCGCCAAACCGTATATTGACGAAAGTTGTACCCTATATGGCGCCGCCCGTAAGAAACTTTAGTTTTCTTTTTCGCAGAAATATTCTCGGGAGTATTCTCATCTACTCCCTAAAGTTTCATGGCACTCGGATGAACCGCATCCGAGATTTATTTTTTATATACCATGTATATAGAAAAAAAATCGCTCCCCCGGGGGGGGGGGGCGCCGCCCTTGCAATATTAAACAATATTTTTTTGCAGAACCCTACCATTGAGTGATCTAATCATCTCCCCAAAGTTTCATGGTACACGGATGAACGGTGTGAAACCGAAATTTTATAAACCGTATATAGAGAAAAATCGCAGCCTCCCGTGGCGCCGCCCTTGCGAAATTAAAAAAGGAATTTTTTACAGTACCCTTCCCTGAATTGTTCTAATCAACTCCCCCAATGTCTCATGGCTATCGGATAACGGTGTCACAACAAAATCGACTTATTTTTATAAACCGTATATAGAGAAAAATCGCACCCTCCCGTGGCGCCGCCCTTGCAAAATTAAAAATTACTTTTTACAGAACCCTTCCCTAGAGTTATATAATGAACTCCCCAAAGTTTCATGCCTATCGGATAAACGGTGTCACTGCAATTCACTTTTATTATTTTTATATACCGTAAATAGAGAAAAATCGGACCCTCCTGTGGCGCCGCCCTTGCGAAATTAAAAAAAAATTTTACAGTACCCTTCCCTGAATTGTTCTAATCAACTCCCCCAATGTCTCATGGCTATCGGATAACGGTGTCACACCAAAATCGACTTATTTTTATAAACCGTATATAGAGAAAAATCGCACCCTCCCGTGGCGCCGCCCTTGCAAAATTAAAAATTACTTTTTACAGAACCCTTCCCTAGAGTTTTATAATGAACTCCCCAAAGTTTCATGCCTATCGGGTAAACGGTGTCACTGCAATTCACTTTTATTATTTTTATATACCGTAAATAGAGAAAAATCGGACCCTCCTGTGGCGCCGCCCTTGCGAAATTAAAATTTTTTTTTACAGAACCCTTCCCTAGAGTGGTATAATGAACTCCCCAAAGTCTCATGGCTATCGGATGAACGATGCCAAACCAAAATCGACTTTTATTTTTTATACCGTATATAGACTTAGGCATCGTTGATGCTGATGTTGTAACTATAGCGTTTGATGCAACAACTATATCCGGTAAACACATAAATGAAGTTCATTTTGGAACGCCTGAAAATGTTTTCACCGCAAACATTACGGAACTGGCTGGAGGCAGAGCTGAGGACTATGCTGGTCATGTACTTAACACCATTGAGGACTTGGCAACAACGTACTCTTCCTTTTGTGAAGTTGATAAGGAGGAGACAAAACTTCAAATGTGTGGAAAGGTTTCATCCACGTTGACAGATAGGGCCTCAGCCAACCACGCTGCAGTACTACTGCTGAATGAAAAACTTCAGACAAACTTACTTGAACTGAATTGTCACTTACACCCTCTTGATGGCATAGCTAATGAAGTAAGGAAGACTTTTCAAAAATTTAATTCCCTTATTCCCAGTGACACATTTGGTTCAGACTGTCGAGCTGCTAACTTGCTGTATGGAATATCTAAGCTGAGGTAAGTTGTTTTCCATCGCTGTTGTTGTTTGATTTTTATTTTGCATTGGTATGACTTTTCAATAGCTCTTGTCTTTCCTATTATTAGGTACAAAGCAAAGGGAGATCCTACAGGATTCAAGGCTTTTCTCAGGCAGCATTCCTTGGCATGTGGTATTTTCCCTAGATATGTTGGTAATAGGTTGCACGTGATGTTCTGCCTGGCTGGTATTGTATACAGACACAGGCATCTTCTGGTGCTATATTTAGAAAAATATTGCAGCAACATATCATTAAGAGCTGCACTATTAAAGGACTTAAAAAATGACATTATTATTTCCCAGTTGCAGGCACTTGGACTTTGGGGGAAATACCTAACCGGGGCTTGGATGTCAGTCTTCTATGCCAAAGAATCAAAACGGAATCATTTTGACATGGTAATACTTTTGAGTTTTTAAAAATAAATACTGGTGACTTCTTGTAATGAGTTATACTTTGTTCAAATGTATATTTTTTCTTTCAGGTTGAATATCAAAAGGTGGCGATGAAATTCATTGCTAGAGTAATTGCTGAGCCAGAATACCTTTTGATAGGATGTGAGGATGCCTTTGGACGCCCCTTAATTGCGGATGAAACTTTGTCATCTCTGCTGATTGTAGATGACACCAACCTCGAGGCCTTTAGTACTGCCACTGAAGCCATGGCCACAGCCACCCAAGCTGTCCTCAGCCGTCAGCTTTCCCGCTACCTGGAGGGTGATTTAGCTGCACCTACTGAGGCCATGTTAGCTGCAGCAGCCAGTGCCCCCGTACACAACATCTGGGCTGAGAGGGCCCTTGGTGTTGTTGACTCATTGTCGCGCAGGGCCCCGAATTCGGAGATAACTTTTTTAGATGCAAAAACTAAAGTAAAGCTGAACAAATCGTTGGACTGGCTGTCATCCAAGCCTGCAGCAGTTCAACAACAAATAATCCAATTTTGCATTAAGAGGGGTGCAGTTTGTAGAAAGTTAGGAAAGGATAGGAGGTTAGAGAAAGAAAGGGAGCTGCAGCGACGGCTGATGGAAAAAAAGCCAGAAAAGAGACATGGGAAACCGAAACAAAATTGCTAAAACTATTAAACAGCTATTAATCGAGAAGGAGCTTTTCACTGTTATTAATGACCCTGTATTTGCCAATGTTAGTAGTTTTCAAAGAAAAAAATTGTCAATTTTTTTGTCAGATAGGGTAGAGGGGGCGAGGATTGAGCATAAGTGGAATGTGAATGGGGAGGATGTTATTTTTAGTGGTAGGTTTATTTTAAAGTTAAAGAAAAAATCAGCTGTAGATTCATTTAGAGTAGCTTATTGGAAAGAAAATGAAACAGAGGATGATGCTGAAGATGTGTGCGTCTCGTTTGACAGTATTTTTAGCTGATGTTGTTTTAGGTGACTTGTTATTTTGCTAGTGTTGTAATTACTATGTAATTATTATATTATTTATATTAAATTTAATTTTTATCAACAGTGTTGACCTGTCTGGTATTTTATTTACACCAATTCCATTTAACTGGTATTTTATTTGTGTAATCTGTATTTTTTTGTGATAAAAGAACCTTTGCGCTGGGGTGGGGGATTTAGATTAAGTTGTATATTAAGCTCCAAGGTGTGAGGTTCCATACTATTACACCTAGCAGATGTTAGAATTTGGACATGATAATAATATAATATTTAGAACCACGATATACTTTAAAAAAAAAAAAAAAAATTTTTAGAATTAGGGGGGTGGTATCCCCTCTAGACACATATTTCATCACACCCTTTACATTTTTAAAAAATGTTAGGTTTAAGTACTTCAAAACACATTTATCTTGAAACTCTGAAAATTTGAATACAAAATTCCATGTAATAAAGATTTGGCATTGATTTATACACATTACACACAAAATTTGCCCGCGAAAATTACCATTAAATCCTATAGTAACTTTTTATTCAGTAAAAAAATCATAACTTTTGAATGGAATGTCCTATTTTGAAAAAGTAAACTGTTTTGTCTTAATTGTATGTAGTTCTATGTGATGATATGTTTTTTTACTTAAATAAATCATTTTGAAATTTATCTCAAAGTCCCTAAATATAGAAAAAAAAACAAATCGCGCCGTGTCAGGGCGCCGCCCCTGCGAATTTGAAATATTTTTTTCGCAGAAACCTTCCCAGGAATATTCTCAACAACTTCCTAAAGTTTCATGGCGATCGTGTGAACGGTGTCACGGCAATTTACTTTTATTATTTTTATATAGCGTATATAGAGAAAAATCGCACCCTCCCGTGGCGCCGCCCTTGCGAAATTAAAAGTGATTTTTGTACAGAACCCTTCCCTAGAGCGTTCTAATAAACTCCCCAAAGTTTCATGCCTATCGGATGAACAGTGTGAAATCAAAATAGACTTTTATTTTTATATACCGTATATAGAGAAAAACAAAACGCGCCCTGCCGGGGCGCCACCCCTGCGAATTTGAATTTTTTTTTTCGCAGAAACCTCCCCAGGAATATTCTCAACAACTTCCCAAAGTTTCACGGCGATGTGATAAGAGGTGTGGTAATGCATAAAAGACACACAGACACACAGACATACATTGCTTTATATATATATAGATAGATAGATAGATAGATAGATATAGTATATAGTGTATAGTGTATAATGTATAGTGTATAGTGTACAGTGTATAGTGTACAGTGTATAGTGTACAGTGTATAGTGTATAGTATATAATATATAGTATATATATATATATATATATATATATATATATATATATATATATATATATATATATATATATATATATACATATATACATATATATATGAGGTAATTAGGAAGGTAGGTAGGTAGGTAGGTAGGCAGGCAGGCAGGTTGGTAGGTAGGGTTAGGTAGGTGCGTCATAATGAAATAATATTAAATACATCATTGTTATGATGTGTGTTTTATCAAGGTATTTTGGTTTGCGCTTTTTTCCGTTGCGCTTTTTTCCGTTGCGCATCTTTCTGGTCACCCACACACACAGAGCCGGCGTTAGGGGGTGGCAAACGGGGCGGTCGCCCCAGGCCCCGCGCTTGAAGGGGCCCCGCGCTTCAGCACTGTTATTGTTATCTGAATTAGTTTGTTAACTTTAAAAAAATTGTTGCTGAATTCAATTGGAAAAAACTAAATGGTCGAATGCTGAAGTTGTTGATTGTTATAACGGAGGCCACGGTTGATGTTGGTGAGTTATCACCCACCTGAACTGGGAAAGGCCGTAATTCGATACAAAAACAGTGTCACACACCTCCCCTTTCTGTAGGGTACGGCGTACGGTCGCCTCGCATTTGACCTGAGCTGACTAGAGATAGTTGGACGCGAATCAGCCCCCGACCTGACATGGGATGTAAATTTGGGAAAGTGATACTCTATTGTATGCGGACCGATGAAGACGTCCTTTTAGTGAGCGGACGGGATGCCTGTAGTAGACGACAGTTAGTGACCTGATGAACGCTAGTCCTGACTTTCTTGTTGACGATGTTGTATATGTAGGCCTACTTGTCTTGGTATAACACAATTAACATTCAGTTGCGTGCAGAGGGGTGGGAACAGGGCGACGAGGGGGGGGGCTTAGGATCTATATCAAGGGGCATTAGACAGAGTGATTTATTATTAATTTTTGGAAGAAAGTTAAAAGTGTTAATGTAGCATGTTTTCTCTATCATTAGCAGGTTTGCGTCATGGTGTCACCCCCCCCCCCCCCCCTCTCCAACCTTGTCGGGATTTATCAAATTTGCTCTTAAAAGACTATTTAACACTCTAATTAACCACTTTTTAAAGTGGAACTATCATTTTTCAGCATGTTTTGCTATTTTTTTGCCTTGGTGTCACCCCCCTAAATGGTGTCACCCGGTGCGCCCCTGCTTTTATATTGACAATTAGTCATCAACAAATAATTTAAACAACTTTATTTTCCTAATTATTTGGCACGTGATTGAATTTTCTTAAGTGATTTGGTATGGACTACATAACTGTCAAAAGAGATTTAATATCTTAGCAAGGAAAAAAAAAACTAAAAACATAGGGTTAAAACGTGGGAGAGGTAAACATCTGTTATTTAAGTGGAAAGTTTGGCCTTAGCATATAGATCTAGACTCCAAAACATGTATGTGTTATTATGTGTGTATGCATATTATATAGGCCAGTGGCGTAGGCGGGGGGGGGGGGGGGGGGTTATAACCCCCCTTAGACCCCTCGGTATATATAAAGTATGAGGGGAGTGCAAATCGAAAGTTTGAGAGGGGGGGGGTGCAAATCGAAAGTTAGAGGGGGGGCTGCAAATCGAAAGTGTGAGGGGGGTGCAAATCGAAAGTTTGTCCCCGGGTAAAAATTGGACCCCCCCCCCCCTTGAGACGATCCTGGCTACACCACTGATATAGGCCTATACACACACACACACACATATATATATATATATATATATATATATATATATATATATATATATATATATAATGAAAAAAAGCAGGCCCCGCGCCGATGGTTGGCCCTAGGCCCCGCGTATTCCTAACGCCGGCTCTGCACACACACATACACATATGCACGCGCGCACTTAGTTATAGCTTTAATAATAGATAGGCCTAGATCTATATACTTTAAAAAAAAACAATTAGACATTAGAACTTGACTTACAACTTAAATTTTTAATGATTACTATACGAGCCCTTTTCATTATGGATGTGAAAGCAACTAGATTCTAGATCTAGATTCTTCTAGATTTAGATCTAGATCTACATTTGGGTGACGCGGGCGAAAACCGCTTTGATTTTAATATTTATTCTTTTTTTCGGCTGTTTCACATACCTACTTGACTACGTTATCTAGTTGCTACCGCTCTTCTGGATGTGAGTTCAAATTTATATTGAAATCATGACAATTTCATTAGGGGGCCTATTTAAATATTTTTCTTTATGGTATTTGACTTGCTTACCTCCATTCATTAGACTAGAGTCTAGAGTTAAGAGATCTTTCCCTTTATTATAGGCCCGGATAGGGCCTTTAGGTCTAGAATCTTGTGCCCCAAACGATTGGTAGGAAAGTGAATATTTCCACCTAACATCTTTGATTATGATTAGACTAGAGATATTTTTAGATTTTTTAGAATTAGATCTCTAGATCTAGTCTTAAGTCTAGATCTAGATATCTAGTCTAGATTCTAGATCTAGATTTTATCTAAATCTAGATCTAGAAAAAGGCACAACCCTAACACTATAAAATAAATAATAGATCTAGAATCTAGATTAGATTTCTAGATCTAGATTTAGATAAAATCTAGATCTAGAAATCTAATCTAGATTCTAGATCTATTATTTATTTTATATTTTATTATAGTGTTAGGGTTGTGCCTTTTTCCGCCCTTTTTTTCACGTTTTCTCAATTTTGCATTTTTACTTAAAATTCAACATTCAAATCGCTAAGGCTTTGGAACCCTTTGTCATACAAGAGTACAAGACTGAAACATTTCACATGTATTCAGCATTATACTAACCGCTAACCCAACCCTAACCCTCTACAAAACTACGTTTGTACATTAAGTTTAGTATTTTAGTACAATACTTTAGGGAATATTGATATTTATGTAAATATGTACTATTATGTAGCACCACCCCCTAATTTTAGGACATAAATCATAAATGTAAGTAGATCTAGATCTACATGTGTATTAAAAATTTAGTAAGAGCTGTCGCAATGAATAAACGTAGAAATGTATAGTTTGGTTTGAGAAATCTAAATTTTTCATCAGCTTTTAAAACTCTTATGGAAACAGTTATAGAGGTTTGAAAAAGTGTAGTGTTAGTTTTCACAACTTTTCGTGGTTCCCTGGCAACCATTACAACCATTACTGCTATTGGCGGCTATATATATATTATTTTTGTCTCTAGGTTAACAACTATTAACATATGAATTTACTAAACACCCAGAAATGTGTTACATAAAAATTTTTTTTTTTTATCTGTATAGTCTATCCTCAAGTTATTTTTTGGTAAACTTATAGTGAGAGATTCAGGGGAAGCCACTCTATTTTACAAATGACTGCTATTTATATATTATAGCGATTGTTGCTCGCAAACGCTGCTGTTTAAAGTTAATACTGGCCTATATTGATATATTTAATTTAGCCATTGATTTTGGTTTATTATTCATTTATATATAATATTTGACACAAATATATCACAATATACTTATATTAAAGCCTTAACAATGAGGCAACTTTTTTTTTACATTACTAGCCGCTGCCAATTTTACACACCTAAAACATAGATTACCAAAAATTCAATACTATCATAAGTTGGCCTCTTATTAGATTTAGTGAAATTTAGTGGCTAGGTTTATTGTAATACCAGATATATCTAGTCCAAGTGTTCGAGGGGCCTAATAAACTAATAGTTAAATTTATTATGCTTATGGCTAATTGAAATTATAATATATTGTTAGAGTATTGTCCTTACTTACTTTTAAGTGGGCATATTGGGAAAATCTCCCTGATTATTATATATAATAATATAACCTTTAAGTAACCTAACACAGTAGCTTTACGAGGCGGGGGCCTCACAATTTAGGCTTGACACCATGACGAAAACTCGTAAAATTAACTGTCAAAACTAGTTTTATTCAGTTAAAATAATAAAATATTAAGAAGGGGGTGTAACACTCCACCGGAAATGCAAAATTGTTAGACGGGACAAGGTGACACTCACTAAACGCATCGGGAGATATTGAACCTTGTAATGCCACTAACCAAATGCAATTTTTTTTTAAGTTGATCATGATTTATTTAGATTTGTTTTTTTTTTCTTTCTTATACGTTTGCAAAGTGATTAATATGTTCCTTAAAGTCCATTTTAGCTGCTTCTGTATGTTAGATACTTAGGATGGCGCAGTTACTGACCCAAAGGGCATATCTACAACTTGTTTCATAACATCATCATAACGGAGAGACTTGGGGCGCCCAACTGTATACTACTGCCGAGGCAGCTGGAGGACACCCCCTATTTTGTTTAGCCATTGATTATAGTAGCCTTCGTATCCCGAGGGCATGGCGCTCATTAAAACAAGTATATGCACCGTAGTGCTCACAGGGGGAGCCCGGGGTGCCGGATGATGCACCTTTGCAGTTTGACCGTTGGATTAAGCAGTAACCCTGACCCCTTGTGCAATTAACTGACCCCAGGTGCTAAGAAAGCCGCTGTGAAAATCTAGGTGGCAAACCGAACCGCCTTACTGTCAATGGGCCACGGCTTTTATTTTTTTTAAATTGGCTCATTTGTAATCATGGATGGATGGAATTTAGGTGAGGACAGAGAGTTGAGAGGGGAGGGGTTGCAAGTTTGTGGCGATGGGGTAGAGAGTTTTTAGCGATGCGTAGGCTATAAATTTGCGGTTGCCAAGGCCAATTTCACAAAGGAGTCAATGTTCAAGTTTATTCATAGGCTAATTCTTGCAAAGGCTTGCCCGATAATGCAGCAATGCCTATAGTATTATTAATACCGATGGGTCTTGTACAACCCCCACCCCTCCCCAGTAAGAAAGGTCTGAGGGCCTTTTTGGATTTTTTAAAATTACTTCTACAGTATAAAGAAACTGGATTTCCGTGTTCTTTTTAACATTATTTTTATAATACAAATATAAAAATTCCAATATAAAAGTTTTAAATTTGAAAGAGGGAAAAGGGCCCCTATTTGCCTTGGACCTCTATGCCTTGCTTATGCTAGCTTTACGGTGGCTAGGCCACTGACATAAATGTATGTATAAATTTATATTAAAAATTTTAATTGAGCTATCGCAATAAATAAACAGAAATGTATGTACATCTTTCATCCGTTTTTAAAAATCTCTTTTGAGAACAGTGGTAGAGGTTTGAAAAGGTGTTAGTTTTCACTCCTTTTTGTGGTTTCCATGGCAACCAATACTGCTATTGGCGGTTAGATATGTCTTTTTGTCCATAGGTTCACAACTATTAACATGAGTTAATTAAACATCCTGAAACGTGTTAAGTAAAAAAAATGTTGTGTGGTGTCTAGCCTTAAGCATTATATACCATTCGCTCCCTCTGGTTTGGTAAAAATGGCTCCCGCTTGTTTGGGAATAGCCTATATAAAATGCTATAAAATTTTCAATTAAAGGTCTAAAAATGGGCAATTGTGAAAATAAAAACACAAATACAAATAAAAATGCAAATATAATTATAAACCCAAATAGAAACACAAACACACAAATTTATTTATTAACATAAACTCAAACGCAAAATTTGGTAGGGTGAAATGCCATTAAAATTAATGCTAAATTGAAATTTCACCATACAAATTTTGAAAATTCAAAAAAAAATTTTGAGTGTTTAAAAAAGTAGATTACTGACTCTATTAACATTCGTAAATGAAGGATCAATGATTATATGATCAATATATATGTTATTTTTTTAACTGTGGGACTACCCCAAAGGGTACTTTCTTTCAAGATTGCTGCAGTTTCCATGGCAACCATATGTTACAAATTGTCCCTGATGCATGCAAATATTTAAAAGGCTTATTAGTTTAAAAAAAGTGTTTTTTCTGGAGCATGTCCTTAATTCCTATTTCATCTTCTCCCTGCTGGGTCAAGTAGGTGATACATTACATAAGATGAATCCTCTGCTTGTCTGTGATCAAAGAACAGCAGTGGTTGTTATGTCGAAGTAGATTAGTATTTCTATTGGGGGTTTTGTGGGGTTGGCATACTGACTAGAGCCTCACTAGGTGCTTTGTATCTTTACCCTATATGGTTTATTTTGGTATCATTTTTAATATGAATTTAAAATTGTATCCACAAAGTTCTATCTTTGTCAAAAGCTATACATAGGCCTAACCTTTTTCCTTAATGTTGCATCAAATCGAATATTTTAGGTGAAATGGCTAAGATTATGAAAGAAGATGTTCACAAGTTGTTGATGTTGTGGTGTACAGATGAAATGAGGTTCCAAGTCACAGCTCAAAGCTCTTTTCAAAACTTTCAGTTACCCTCATGCCAAGATTTCAAGCTGTAAGTATTTTTTTAATACTTCTGTTAATCTCTATGAATAAATAGGCCTGTAGGTTGACAACCCCGAGTAGCCTGTTGCACGAGCTACTTTTTTTTTTTACCATCGTCATGGTATTGATGGCCACCAAAAATGAGGTTACAGCAATTCAGGGACAGAGTGGTCTAGCTGAAGAGAGCTGGACTGCTAACCCGTAAATCTCGAGTTCAAATCTGGGTTCAGTCAGTAGACCGTCCCTGAGTCCACCCAACTCTGATGGGTACCTAACTCACATTAGGGAAAGTAAAGGCAGCTGGGCATTGTACTGACCACACTATCTCTTCATATGTCGAGGTCACAGAAACAGGTGAACTCTACTTCACTTGCCCTACAGACCGTCAGGTTTGAAAAGGGAATTTTACTTCTTTGTCATTTCAGAAACATATACTAGTTATTTTTGTGTATTATTCAACAATAATGATGTAGTTTTAAAAATGGTTAGTGTTTCATGCAAACTTGCCATTTTTACATTGTTTTTGGTGTAATCGCTGAGAATATTGAGCAGGACATGAAGTAAGCAAAATGTTAATTACTGTATTTAACATTATTATTATTGTATAAACACTTTTTTAAACTGTAGAAAATTATGGTCTGTCAGTAATTTAAAAAAATTATGCAGGGTAAAGAAACCTTCAAAAAAATAACTTGATCCAGATAACAGCCTACTTTAAGCCCGCCCATTTTGCCCGCTGTGTTTGAAAGGGAAGAAATCTAGCAGACAACACATTTCTGCAGAGCAGGCAATCTCGTCACAAGAATACTTCTTAAAAACTAACCCACCATATCAGTCATAGCATCGTAGCCATCTAAAAGCAAACGTGTTTCTTCACAAATCATTTTCTAGGCTACCGATTAATTTTGATAATTAAAATTGGTATCAAAGGGAAATAAATGTAGTTTTTAATGGTTTAAGTCATCTTGAACAATAAATAATGAATTTTAAAATCTTAGGGGCCACCCTACCATAGGGCAGATATGGACCACCAACCCAGTTGTGATCTTCTACAATTTTAAATTAATGTTAGAAGGCATCCTCTCCAACACAATTAAGCATTACAGGTCAACTTGTTATGCGCCTGCTTTTCTTTTTGGATTTGCTTCCATAACCTGTTTCCAACTAAGGACAAACTATAAGGCAGCAGTTGTTTGTTTTTGGAGTTGTCTCTTTTAGACGAGTTGCTGTCTCGAGCTATCGAGCCTCATCTGCCTCGGGGGTTTGAACCCGAGACTTTTCAGCTTAGCAACCATGAGCTGTACCGGCTCGACCAAGGCTACCCCAGTTTTGATAGTTTAACTTAGACTTAAACTTTCTATTTTTGCCAGAAAACCTATTTTTCCATTTGATGTCAATTTCTTGACTGCCGTCTAGGGTTGTGAGACCTATGATGTGACACATTGAGAAGCCCCAAACACAGTCTTGTTCAAATTCTTGTCTCATTTCTCCCAGCGCTGTTATTTAATTACGAGATAAATGGCCCATTGAGGGAGAAATACAATGAAGCTAGGGTGAAAGTGTTGTCCTTCTCCCTAAACCAAAACCTCAATTTCAAATTTAACTGGAAACTAACAATGTCATTGAATTTTTATCCAGAATCAGCAGGTATTTACTACATATTCATACAAAATATAGGCCTAGCTCAAACTTGATAAAATTACATTTAGAGTTTCTGTAACACATATGGTTACCAGCCAAGGGGGGGATAACAAATAAAGTTTTAATTCACTGAGTTGCGGCCCCTCTGGGGGCCGTAGCCCTGTTGACGTAGTTGTATTGCAAGAGGTGCACAATGGTTTTTAGTCATGTAACTCTATTGTAAATAAAACATGTAAAGTACTAAAAAAAAAGTGTGGTTCTCTTCTACATATTAGTAAAGGTATCCAATAGATACTAAAGTGACCTACACTTTTCTTTATAGTTATTTAAATAGTAGTGTATAATTTATTTAATTCTATGTTTATGCTAGAAACAATGATGTCATGTTATTGTGTGTACTGGTCCCGACTTTAGACTATTTCCTACTCTATGTTCCATGTGATGTCATGTTTCGTTTTTTATTTTACTCGTTTTTACTTTGCTTGTGTTTTCTCTATAGCATTCCCTACAGACAGATAGATAGACAGACAGCTAAACTATTATTATCAATATTATCTTGTTTTTTGTGAATTGACTTCCTAGGTGAAAACATGAGTCATTTACAATCTGGGGACATGGAGTTATTAAGAACCTTGTGTGTCATTAACAATCAAATAATAAAATTAGGTTAAATAAGGGATGACAATTTATCATAGCCCTTTTGGTTTTATTTAAACTTAATTTTTACGAAATTTTTTGGAAATAGCTCAAAATATTTCAAGAAATTCGACCAATATTCATGTATTTCAGCTAGGGCAGATTTTCAAGATTTTAGGTAATATCTCTCCATTTTAGCTCTCATGTGTTAGAGCAAACTTTTTTTTAAATATGCAAGTTGTGTAGGCCTATGTATTAATATTTTGTAAAATATACTTTATGCATGATTATTAAATAATTTTTTTTTATATTCCTAGCATATGTCACAAACCTCTTGATGAAGTCTGGAAGTATGTAATACGTTACATAAAATCTGTACAGTAAGTTGTCCCAATTTTTTAGCTTGGTCTAGAAATTGTTTTATTTTACCTTATAACTTGTATGTAAATCTGTATAGTTTATTTTGTACCTTACTTGTGAAACTTTCTAGAAAATTATTATTTAATCCATCATGTGAAATCTGCCTAGTAAATTGTTCTTTTAACTTAACATTTGAAATCTGCCTAGTAAATTGTTCTTTTAAATTAACATATAAAATCTACCTAGTAAATTGTTCTTTTAACTTAACATGTGAAATCTGCCTAGTAAATTGTTCTTTTAAATTAACATGTGTAATCTACCTAGTAAACTGTTCTTTTAACTTAACATGTGAAATCTGCCTAGTAAATTGTTCTTTTAACTTAACATGTGAAATCTGCCTAGTAAATTGTTCTTTTAAATTAACATGTGAAATCTGCCTAGTAAATTGTTCTTTTAACTTAACATGTGAAATCTGCCTAGTAAATATTTTGCTTTAGGTAAGAAATATGTCTAGTAAACAGTTTTTATTTACCCAACATGTCTAGATAAGAAATACACCTACTAAATTGTGTTTATTTCCCTTTTAAATGTACAATGTGTTTAACGCCTACATATCAACTCCTTCTAATAAGTAATTGTGAAATCTGTCTAGTAAGTAGTTTCTACCCTAAATGTAAAATCTGCTTAGTAAGTTATTTTTATACACCTATGATACTTGAGGCCTACTTGTGGAATCTGTCTAGTTAAGTTTTTCTCTACATGTGAAAATCAAGATTTAATAAAGTAACAAGAATTATGTTTAAAAAACTTTTAATATCTCCACAGGATGGTGAAACATGTTCGAGGAAATATTGCAGTGTATCCTTTTGATAAACTGCTGTAGTCATAAACTGTGTCTACTTGACTTACTTTTGACTTAGTCCTCTTGGCTCCTAATGGAACATAGGGCCTCTACCATTTCATCCGATCCGCGGCTATTAATTTTGCCATCTCCCAAGACATCCTTGTTGGCTTAAATTCTTTGGGAAGACTCCGCCTCCAGGTCTGTCTCTTCCGCTTTCTCTGGGGGTTGCACTCAAGCGTTTTTGGAGAGCATTTGCAGCATGTGTCCCACCCAGCGCCACTTCCTCCTTATTTGCACAATCATAGGCTCCTGCCTTGCTTTTCTCCATCAATCTATATTCCGCACTTGGTCCTGCCACCTCAATTTTAAAATTTCTGTAACTATACTTTATTTTATATGGACGAGTAGTTAGCCCATCGCACAACCCTAATCTGGAGGACCAGGACACAGCGTTTGGTCTGGTCCCTACACACAGGACCAGGACACAAGTCTGGCCCCTACCCACAGGACCAGGACACAAGTCTGGCCCCTACCCACAGTACCTGGGCCCAATGTTTGGTCTGGCCCCTACCCACAGGACCAGGGCACAAGTCTGGCCCCTACCCACAGGACCAGGGCACAAGTCTGGCCCCTACCCGCCCAGATCTGTCGGACTTGATTAGACCTGGCAGGAGCACTAGGCTCCCCTCGCCATAGCTATGGGGATTGGTGGGGCTCACAAGCCATCCCACCAGTTCAAAGCGGTGTGCCATCAGGATGGAAACTAAGTAGGCCTAAACAATCCAAACTAGGTTTCAAACTTGCTTTTTTGTTTAATTAATATATTTGACGCCAAGAAATATTTTTTAAGGGTGTTTGTTATTAAATCACTACCATACTATACCTCCATTTATATTCCTTTACTTGCCTGTTCATTCCATTCAAATACATAAGATAATACTAGCATGTCTTATTTAACTGTCATCTCTCTTCCAGGCTATTATTTTGTTTTTATTTTCTTAAAATTTCTATACTTTTACTTTCTCTTAAACAGTGTATAAAACAAGTATTGATGTTGACAAATCTAGCCATTGTACACTACTTTGAGTCAGATAAACTTGCTTTTTAAATCCTGTCTGTCTCTGTCTACATAAACATAATAACTGGCATTATTTCACGTAGGTTAACGAAATTTCATATTTAAGTATTAAATCGTAAGTGCAGATTCCCAACTACTTTTGGATGATTTCTAGGGTGCTCCACTCTTTTTCTGTGTGAAAACAATATCTTGAGTGTGGTTTCAGTTAGGTAGATGAAATTTCATATAAATGTATAAAATCTTTTACCCAAAAAAAAAACTGTTAGACATGTACATCAAATTTTTACAGTGATTATAATTATTCTACAGCTATAACACAACATATAATGTGTGGGGTATATTGTATAGCAAAAACTTTTCTAAAAATTAATTTGGTAAAATTTTTATAGGCCTACATTTCTAAATTTATTGTAAACAATTTTCCGAAACCATAAATTAATGACTTAAAACTTGGCATAAAGTTTCCTTACCTATGTTGTGAATTATAACCATAGCATTCCAAACCATTAAAAATTTTTAGAAAATTTCAAAGTTACCTCCAGATTGCTCTGACAATTTACATTGTCTGGGTGAAACTGCCTCCGTACCATTTCAGTTGGGTGGAGAAATTTCACAAATAAATATTCCATTGTATGCACAGATTTCTGCCAACTTTTGAATCATTTCTGTTAACCAAAAGTTGTACTTTACTCAATTTTTGTGGTAACGCAACTTAAGTAATGTTTCAGTAGGAGGACAAAATTTCATATATAAGTATTAGCACTTGTATTTATTTCTTTCAGCTCCTGAGCTATTTCTGGTAAGTGGAAAAAAGTATTTTACTCTATTTATTATTTCTCAAAAACCATAAGATTTCCATTGATGGAAAATAGTTTGGTACAAAATGAAAAAAATTATTTGAAAGAGCAGCAAACCATTTGTGGAGTATTTAACATGTAACTTTTACCTTATCTTCTGAACCAATAAATGCCCCTCTTATCTGACAACTAACTAACAATATACTGTTTGTATGTTTCTTCTTCGTTCTTAATTTTAGTATTGGAAGGGATCCCCCTCCAACACAATTAAGGATACGTGTCCACTGGTTATGCGCCATTGAGGCCATTGACTCAGATTTCAGCATGCTTTTCTTTTTGGATTTGCTTCCATAGCCTTTGTCCAACCAAGAACAAACTACTAGGCAGCAGTTTGATTTTGGAGTTGTCTCTCATAGAAGAGTGGCTGTCCCCAGCTAACGAGCCTCATCTGCATGAGGGTTCAAACTTGAGACTTTTCGGTTTAGCAACCATGAGCTTTACTGACTCGACCATGCTGACCCCTGTTTGTATGTATAATAGGGGATTGTTATCCATCCCTAAAGACATCTGTTTCTACAGTGTGAAATCATAAGAACTAACACAGTTCCAAGTCCAAATAATGAGAAATTTATTTACTATATGTAGGGCCTACACATTCAAATATCCTAACCTAGCATCAAAGCCTGCTATCTAACTGTCAAACTACAACTATAACTGTCTGCTCTACTCCTCCCTAAAATCTAACCAATACATAATCTCTGCTCACCCTCTTTTTATCACTTATCAGCTCCCAACACTGTGTTCAACTAGCCTCTACTGCTTGACTGACCGTCTCACTTTGAATTGGTTGGCTATTCTATTGTTTCTTACTCCTACCTGCTACCTACTTGAACTGATTGACCAATGGCTGTCTAACCTACACTATTGTACCTCTCTCTTATTGTCTATTTCTAATGTTTCCTTTACTTGTCTCTGCACAATAAGTATAAGTATATATCTATAAACAAAAAAATGGCTAGGTCTTTTTAGGTGTTATATTCAAGGCAGCAATTAAAACAGCCAGGGACCAAAATATTAATAATCCTTAATACTAATAAAGAAAAAACAATTCAACTGGCTCAAGCAAGAAGTTCAGCAAATCTAAAATTGTCGAAGATGAGTCAAAATATGACTTGAGGAGAAAATTGGCCAGAGACTTGACAGGCTGCTGGACTGATATTAGTTTTTTACAAAATGAAATGGCTCAGGTCAATAAAGAGGTCATGGAACAAGGTATATGCACAACTCAGTATGGTTTTTATCCACAATTTTGACTCTTAGGATACAATTTTGTGATTATACCTAAACTGTTAAGCTATTGCCTTTTGCAACATAAATTAGGTTGTTGTTTTTCCTTGTAATAATTTTTGTTACACTTGTTAAAATTTCAATTGTATTTTCCTATAGACCTACTTCCCCCTCCTTTCCCATCCAACGTCTACATTCCAGAACTTGAACTGGAACCCAAACCTGACCTTTAACCAGAACCTGTGTGTTTAACCAGAATTGGAATTTTAACGAGATAGGGAATCATTAACCAGAATT